TCCGGCGTAACGCTTGAGAACGTGACGAGCGGCGAAACCGAACGAACACAAGCCGTGAAGGATCGGAGACTCGAATCCTGCGGGTCGTTTAAACAGCAGCATCAGGAGCAGTGTGTGTGTGTGTGTGTGTGTGTGTGTCGGTCACGCTTTCATGCAGAACATGCTGTTCTTACCCAGAGTTTCTGTCTCCTTCAGCTCACATATCTACAAACACTCAAATCAAGATCCATTTACTAGATGAGTAAAATGCTATCAAAATTAAAATAAGCAAAATGATCTGCCAGTGGGGTCAGAAAAATAATGTTAATTCAAACAGAAACAAGATTAGATTATTTTTCTGACCCCATTGTCAGATCATTTTGCTTATTTTAAGCACCAACTCTCTTAATTTTGATTTATTTCCCTAGAAAACAACATCATATCTGATGGTATTTTACTACTTCAGTAATAAACGCTTCTTGATTTGAGTGTTTGTAGATATTCGGACTGAAGCGAGACAGAAACACTGTATTGGATCATGACGACTGCATATTAATCTGTAATATCTTCATAAATGCTGTACCTCCCAGAGCGGCGAAGCTGGGGTCGATGTGCAGCGGGTTCCAGTCTCCGCTCAGCCGGTACAGCGCCGCCTGGACACACACACACACACACACACACACACACACACACACACACACACACACACACACACACTCGTAAACACTCGTGCGCTGTGGGTTCAAGACTTGATGTTTCTGTGGATCAGTTGAACCCTCATCCGTCCCTCACCGAAAGCCCTAAAATTATACTTGCATTTTTTTTTACAATTTCATTTTGATCATATTTTTTCCATATTTTAATGCAATTTTTTTGGATTTTTTTTATTTTATTTACCTTTAAATTACTAGATTTGATCAATAAATAATAAATAAATAGTAATCTAAGAACATTCCTCACATTCTTTCAACTTAAATTCAAAATAACTCACAACTCATGCATAACCCTTTTAATCCAGCTCAGAATATCTCACATTGTGTGTCTTTGCCGACCGCTTGTGTTAAATAATAATATAAGATGATATTTCATGACTCTAGATGGCCTTATATCTCTATATGGAGTAAATGAGCTGTTCCTCTGGGTCCTAAAGCCAGTTTCTCTTCAGTGTGCACTCAGACACACATGTAGACATTCGTTTTTTACAAGTTTTGAGCATTATTGTGTTTTGAGGTGTTGACCGTGTCCAGCATCAGTGACTGTCATGTGATGCGGTGAGACGTCACCTGATCTCGAGACGTTTGCTCCACGATCACGGCGTCAGCGGGTCTGTCCGGAAGAGGAGCCGTGACCTGAAGCAACACACACACACTGGGGAATCAATGCCTGTGTGTGACTCTGGTGTGTGTGTGAGAGTGTGTGTGACGTGATATTCACCACGGCCTTCTGGGACGTCCTCTTCCCACCGAACCCTCCAGCGCCGACCACGAACAACGAGAACTGATTATAACACACCAGCTCTCCACCACTGTACGTATGAACTGAGACACACACACACACACACACACACACACACACACACGGATCAAACGCTTAGAGGCGGAATGATTTTTTTGAAAGGCTTCATCAAAGGACGCTTTAAATTCAATTAAAATAAAATCTAGCTGATTTACATTATAATAATATTTCACTGTTTTTACTGTATTTTTGATCAGATAAATGCAGCTTTAGTGAGAGACTTTCTTGCTGAACCGAAACGTGTGTGTGTGTGTGATTCACACTGATGATGTTTCTCACCGTCGAGGAGGACGATCATCCCGGACCCTTTATCCAGAACATCTGCGACCACGGCCCGTGACGTCAGCGTCCCTGAGGAGACACACACACACGTCTTCAGAAACACATGAGGAGTGTGTGAGTGTGTGAGGAGAAGCTGAGTGTTTGCTGATGATCACCTGATGTGGGCAGCGGTTTGAACACCTCCAGATATTGCTCTCCGTGCAGCAGCTGAAAGACACACACACACTGATGACATCACTGAGGACACACACACACACACACACACACACACTCACTCACTCACACACACACCATCAAAAGTTCAATATGGCGTACCACAAGGCTCAGCACTAGGACCGTTGCTGTTCACTCTGCACATGCTACCCTCACACACACACACACACACACTCACACACACACTCTCTCACACACACACACACACACACAACCTGCTGAAGTCGATCTGGAGTCCCGGGGCGCTGCTGAGGCCGGTTATGGCGCTGGGCCGCGATCACACACACACTCACTCACTCACACACACACCATCAAAAGTTCAATATGGCGTACCACAAGGCTCAGCACTAGGACCGTTGCTGTTCACTCTGCACATGCTACCCTCACACACACACACACACACACTCACACTCTCTCACACACACACACACACACACACACACACAACCTGCTGAAGTCGATCTGGAGTCCCGGGGCGCTGCTGAGGCCGGTTATGGCGCTGGGCCGCGATCACACACACACTCACTCACTCACACACACACCATCAAAAGTTCAATATGGCGTACCACAAGGCTCAGCACTAGGACCGTTGCTGTTCACTCTGCACATGCTACCCTCACACACACACACACACACTCACACACACACTCTCTCACACACACACACACACACACCCTGCTGAAGTTTTTGGAGGCCCGGGGCGCTGCTGAGGCCGGTTATGGCGCTCTGGGCCACGATCACACACACACACACACACACACACACACACACACACACACACTCACCCTGCTGAAGTCGATCTGGAGGCCCGGGGCGCTGCTGAGGCCGGTTATGGCGCTCTGGGCCACGATCACACACACACACACACACACACACACACACACACACACACACACACACACACACACACACACACACTCACCCTGCTGAAGTCGATCTGGAGGCCCGGGGCGCTGCTGAGGCCGGTTATGGCGCTCTGGGCCACGATCACACACACACACACACACACACACACACACACACACACACACACACACTCACCCTGCTGAAGTCGATCTGGAGGCCCGGGGCGCTGCTGAGGCCGGTTATGGCGCTCTGGGCCACGATCACACACACACACACACACACTCACCCTGCTGAAGTCGATCTGGAGGCCCGGGGCGCTGCTGAGGCCGGTTATGGCGCTCTGGGCCGCGATCACACACACACACACACACACACACACACTCACCCTGCTGAAGTCGATCTGGAGGCCCGGGGCGCTGCTGAGGCCGGTTATGGCGCTCTGGGCCGCGATCACACACACACACACACACACACACACACTCACCCTGCTGAAGTCGATCTGGAGGCCCGGGGCGCTGCTGAGGCCGGTTATGGCGCTCTGAGCCGCGATCACACTGAATGTGGGCAAACAGCAGAAGTCCTGGGATCCCTCGTACAGGAACCGCAGGTGATCCGGGTCTCCGGTGGACATTCCCACTCCCAGCGCGTACAGGATACAGTTCATGTGTGTGTAGGAGAAGCTGATCTCCGGAAGAGTGTGCCCCACGGCCTCCGACTGCAAAACACCACAGCACATCTCACTGGACCTGATTGAGAGCACGTTTTAAGCACAAACTCACTTCATTTTGATTCATTTTTCAGACTCAATATCTTAAGCTTGTGCGAGTCGCCCTTATGGACAATTTTGTCTTTTTCAGTTTAATTTTTTTAAATAATTTGCCTGTTTATGCAAACTGCATACATTTTTAAACAGCTGTGTATTTTTATTGGAAATTTTTATAATTTCCTTTTTATTAAAGTATTTTGCACTAGTTACACAGAATAGTTCCTCTCGGGACCTTAAGGACAAAAATGTCCCCATTGAAACTCAATTTTTAATCCAAGGGCCATTTAACTATAATATGATGCGATTTGTGTTAATAGGTTTTCATTCTGTTGGCAAGGCTTCAAAATTAAAAAATTTTATGGTGCCATTTTCTCAGATTTATAAAAGTAAATACTCCCTTGATTCCTGTTTTCTGAATTCCAATTGGATACATTATGCAACCATAATTGTGTGTGTGTGTGTGTGTGTGTGTGTGTTGGTATGGATGTCAGAGTGTGGTTTGTATGTGTTTAATATAATTGTGTGTGCTTGTAAAATTTGAGAAAGAAAAACTCTACTGCAAATTACAAATCTAACCACTGTGTGAATCTATTTTATATAAAATATTGTTCATAAATCATTTTCGTAAACTTAAACCTCTATAACTTTTTTTTGGTTTCACTTTTTACTTCAGCAATATTCTGCCACGGGTCTGCTTTAAAATGACTTCTTTATGTTTTTTGACATGGACATTTTGTCCTCCATGGACCTGTGTGTAACAGAATGCTTCTCCAGTAAATTACTCTTGATTTCAGAATGTTTCGATGTTTGTGCTGGAAACGAGACTTGTTTGCAGTGTGTGTGTGTGTGTGTGTGTGTGGATGTTTCTCACAGGGTTTGTCGCTGCGGCTCCGGTCGGATTGGTTCCGATTCCTCGTCCAGAATCCAGTTTAGACAGAACCTCCACCAGCGTCTGCAGAGACTCTTCAGGAACACAGTGATGTTCATTACATTTACATTTAATCTTTTAGCAGAAGCTTTTATCCAAAGCGACTTACAACTGAGAACAACAGAAGCAGTCAGACGAGCAAGAGTGCAACAGTGTACAGGTGCGGGAACCAGTCTCAGTTAGTCTAGCACTGAACATAGCTTCTTTTCCATCACCTCTGTGTGACAGGCACATGCTGAGCGCTCTCAGTGTTTGATTGGCTAACAGCTGTAATGTGTGTGTGTGTGTGTGGTTACCCTGAATGCTGGCGGGTTTAGTGGCATCAGTAAAGTCACAGATCTCGTTCCAAGAGTCTCTCACAGCCTCCGGCGTCATGATCTCGCTCTTCTGACGCACCGTTCGACCCAGAGTCCTCTCCCAGCGCACTACACACACACACACACACACACACACACACACACACACACAGACAGACAGACACACACAGACAGACACACAGACACACACACACACAGACATACAAAGACACACACACACACGTACACACAGAGACAGACACAGACACACACACACACACACACAGAGACAGACACACGTACACACAGACACACACAAACAAAGACATGGACACACACAGACACAAACACACATCAATACATATGTGTGTGAGGACTAGTGATGATGTTAAATCTAAACAGCAGTAAATATAGATGTCTATATGAACAGATTATATAAGGGATCTGCATAGAGGCGTTACAGTGAGTCACGGGTCGATTAGAGGATCTGATGCTGATCTTCTCCCACAGAGATCAGGAGTTTCACAGCACAACTTACATTTCCCGATCCAGCCGGCGCCGACCTGAAACACACACAGCAGCTGAAGAGTTTCATGTAGAAATACCAAGTACACTTGAGATGATGGATAAACTTTTACATTTACATGTGTGCTTTAATCAAACACGTGTACAGTAATTAATGCACTCAAGGTACAGTATGCAGTTGATGGATTGATCATCTGATAAACACCTCGAACAGGCCTCCGTTCTCCCGACACGACTCGTGACTCAACCAGAGCACCAGCGGCGCCACGTACTCGGCCTTCAGCGACTCCAGCAGATCTGAAGGAGCAGAGCGGTCAGTGCGGTCCACACACACACACACACACGTGATGATGACATCACTCTCACCTGATGACATCACTCTCACCTCACTCTCCCCTGATGACATCACACTCACCTCACTCTCTCCTGATGACATCACTCTCACCTCACTCTCACCTGATGACATCACTCTCACCTCACTCTCACCTGATGACATCACTCTCACCTCACTCTCACCTGATGACATCACTCTCACCTCACTCTCCCCTGATGACATCACTCTCCCCTCACTCTCACCTGATGACATCACTCTCACCTCATGACATCACTCTCACCTGATGACATCACTCTCACCTCACTCTCCCCTGATGACATCACTCTCACCTCACTCTCCCCTGATGACATCACACTCCGCTCACTCTCACCTGATGACATCACTCTCCCCTCACTCTCACCTGATGACATCACTCTCACCTCACTCTCCCCTGATGACATCACTCTCACCTCACTCTCTCCTGATGACATCACTCTCACCTCACTCTCACCTGATGACATCACTCTCACCTCACTCTCCCCTGATGACATCACTCTCACCTCACTCTCCCCTGATGACATCACACTCCGCTCACTCTCACCTGATGACATCACTCTCCCCTCACTCTCTCCTGATGACATCACTCTCACCTCACTCTCCCCTGATGACATCACTCTCACCTCACTCTCTCCTGATGACATCACTCTCACCTCACTCTCACCTGATGACATCACTCTCACCTCACTCTCCCCTGATGACATCACTCTCACCTCACTCTCACCTGATGACATCACACTCCGCTCACTCTCACCTGATGACATCACTCTCCCCTCACTCTCTCCTGATGACATCACTCTCACCTCACTCTCCCCTGATGACATCACTCTCACCTCACTCTCCCCTGATGACATCACTCTCACCTCACTCTCCCCTGATGACATCACTCTCACCTCACTCTCCCCTGATGACATCACTCTCACATCACTCTCACCTCACTCTCACCTCACTCTCACCTCACTCTCACCTGATGACATCACTCTCACCTCACTCTCTCCTGATGACATCACTCTCCCCTCACTCTCACCTGATGACATCACTCTCACCTTACTCTCCCCTGATGACATCACTCTCACCTCACTCTCCCCTGATGACATCACTCTCACCTCACTCTCCCTGATGACATCACTCTCACCTCACTCTCCCCTGATGACATCACTCTCCCCTCACTCTCCCCTGATGACATCACTCTCACCTCACTCTCACCTGATGACATCACTCTCACCTCACTCTCACCTGATGACATCACTCTCACCTCACTCTCACCTGATGACATCACTCTCACCTCACTCTCTCCTGATGACATCACTCTCACCTCACTCTCCCCTGATGACATCACTCTCCCCTCACTCTCCCCTGATGACATCACTCTCACCTCACTCTCCCCTGATGACATCACTCTCCCCTCACTCTCCCCTGATGACATCACTCTCCCCTCACTCTCCCCTGATGACATCACTCTCACCTCACTCTCCCTGATGACATCACTCTCACCTCACTCTCACCTGATGACATCACTCTCACCTGATGACATCACTCACCGCTCACTCTCACCTGATGACATCACTCTCACCTCACTCTCTCCTGATGACATCACTCTCACCTCACTCTCTCCTGATGACATCACTCTCACCTCACTCTCTCCTGATGACATCACACTCCGCTCACTCTCCCCTGATGACATCACTCTCACCTCACTCTCCCCTGATGACATCACTCTCACCTCACTCTCTCCTGATGACATCACTCTCACCTCACTCTCACCTGATGACATCACTCTCACCTCACTCTCCCCTGATGACATCACTCTCCGCTCACTCTCACCTGATGACATCACTCTCACCTGATGACATCACTCTCACCTCACTCTCTCCTGATGACATCACTCTCACCTCACTCTCACCTGATGACATCACTCTCACCTCACTCTCCCCTGATGACATCACTCTCCCCTCACTCTCCCCTGATGACATCACACTCCGCTCACTCTCCCCTGATGACATCACTCTCCCCTCACTCTCACCTGATGACATCACTCTCCCCTCACTCTCACCTGATGACATCACACTCCGCTCACTCTCCCCTGATGACATCACTCTCCGCTCACTCTCCCCTGATGACATCACTCTCCCCTCACTCTCCCCTGATGACATCACTCTCCGCTCACTCTCACCTGATGACATCACTCTCACCTCACTCTCTCCTGATGACATCACTCTCACCTCACTCTCTCCTGATGACATCACTCTCACCTGATGACATCACTCACCGCTCACTCTCACCTGATGACATCACTCTCACCTCACTCTCTCCTGATGACATCACTCTCACCTCACTCTCACCTAATGACATCACTCTCCCCTCACTCTCCCCTGATGACATCACTCTCACCTCACTCTCACCTAATGACATCACTCTCCCCTCACTCTCCCCTGATGACATCACACTCCGCTCACTTTCACCTGATGACATCACTCTCCGCTCACTCTCACCTGATGACATCACTCTCACCTCACTCTCTCCTGATGACATCACTCTCACCTCACTCTCTCCTGATGACATCACTCTCACCTGATGACATCACTCACCGCTCACTCTCACCTGATGACATCACTCTCACCTCACTCTCTCCTGATGACATCACTCTCACCTCACTCTCTCCTGATGACATCACTCTCCCCTCACTCTCACCTGATGACATCACTCTCACCTCACTCTCCCCTGATGACATCACACTCCGCTCACTCTCCCCTGATGACATCACTCTCACCTCACTCTCCCCTGATGACATCACACTCCGCTCACTCTCCCCTGATGACATCACTCTCCCCTCACTCTCACCTGATGACATCACTCTCCCCTCACTCTCACCTGATGACATCACACTCCGCTCACTCTCACCTGATGACATCACTCTCACCTCACTCTCACCTGATGACATCACTCTCACCTCACTCTCTCCTGATGACATCACTCTCACCTCACTCTCTCCTGATGACATCACTCTCACCTCACTCTCACCTGATGACATCACTCTCCCCTCACTCTCCCCTGATGACATCACTCTCCGCTCACTCTCACCTGATGACATCACTCTCACCTCACTCTCACCTGATGACATCACTCTCACCTCACTCTCACCTGATGACATCACTCTCCCCTCACTCTCCCCTGATGACATCACTCTCACCTCACTCTCTCCTGATGACATCACTCTCACCTCACTCTCACCTGATGACATCACTCTCACCTCACTCTCCCCTGATGACATCACTCTCACCTCACTCTCTCCTGATGACATCACTCTCACCTCACTCTCACCTGATGACATCACTCTCACCTCACTCTCACCTGATGACATCACTCTCACCTCACTCTCTCCTGATGACATCACTCTCACGAAGGGCTGCAAAATTAATCTAATTTCTAAACGTGATTACGAATGCCACGATCACGTAATCGTTCAAAGCTGCGATTACAAAAAAAAGTCCACTTACATTATTCTGCGGTGCGTTTAGAGTTACGTTGTGAGAAGCGAATCGCGACTACTTCAGAGAACCCAGCACAATATGGTGCTCATACCAACATTGAATTAAAAAAAACTAGTTTGGGACTGATATTTAATAGCTTAACATCATAGGCCTACTGTTTATTTATAGTATTAGTCATATTCTTACAATTTGTGTGTATGTTAAGTAAAGGGGGACAGTACTTGTGTGTGTGTCAACAATTTTTGTGTAAACAAATTTATTATAATAGGCCTATATATATATATATATATATACACTTTTCCTAATTCCTAAAAAGGTGTGTCGCGGCTTGATGACCCTGGGAAATGTGGGTCCCATGGGCAAACGATGGAGAACCACTGGTGTAAATTGTGATAATCGTAATTACAATTTCGAGGGAATAATCGATTTTCTCATAATTGTGCAGCCCTACGCTCCCGTGATGACGTCACCCTCGCGTGATTGGCTCAGCACCTGGAGGCATGACGGTCTCGGTGAGCCGGGATCCTGCGGTCGGCGCCACCGTGTTGCAGTGGACGTTGTACTTCTGGCCTTCGATGGCCAGTGTGTTGGACAGACCCAGCAGACCCAGCTTCGCCGCGCTGTAGTTCGCCTGCCCGAAGTTCCCGTAGATTCCGGCCGCGGACGACGTCATGATGATCCTGCGCACAGACGCGAGGAAAACCCGTCGCGATAAAACATCACATGTTCAGGTGAAACCACAGAGTGTATAAAACACTGGGCGTAACGTCACCCGTCGGTTTCTGAAGCCCAAGCGGAAACCTCTCTTGAATCCAAATTATACTCTATGGTCACTGCGCATCAATGTGCTTGTGATTAGCTGAGGTGACGTGACGCTAACAGACAAACAGCTAGCAGTGACATCAGTGGCAATCCACCTGTCACTCAAGTGGCCACGCCCTTAATTATGCACAACTTTAAGGCTTGATATAATTTAAACGTCACTTCCGTGTTGATTCAAAAGAGAGACGGGAAGGTTGAGACACTGCGGTTCTCCATACCTCCCAAACTTCTGGTTCTTCATGTGGTTCCAGGCGGCTCTCGTGACGATGAACGAGCCTCTCAGATGCACACGGTGAATCAGGTCTGAAACACACGCTTCACGGTCAGCTTTATCACATGGCGGTGAATAAAACCAAAAACTATTCCAACAAACTAAACACAGACACGTGTGATACATCAGCTCAACTCGGTTAAAGTCCCCCTGTAGTCAATCATTTTATCTGTTAAAACTCATCTTTGTTCACCAAAATTACATATTTCAATGTTTTTTCCTTGAAAAAAGATTCGTCATGCCTTAAAATATCTTGAATGTAACTCGACACCCTCGCCTCATTTAGTATGCGCGGTTCTATGAATATGCAAATGAGGCCCGCCTCCACTCACTCCCTCAGCTCAGAGATCCACTGGTTGACGATCACACGTTGATCTGATTGGTTACAAGGTCGTTTGTGACGTCAGAAACACCAGCGATTTCAAACCGTGTTTTTGAGACTGTCTTTGGTTCACTGCAGTTTTAAGGAGGAAATACTCAGCAATGCTGTCGACTTATGAACTTACACATGGTGTGTCTTAAAGCGTATTAAACACCACATAGACACATAAACAACATTAATTTTCACCACAGGGGGACTTTAAATAATTAGCGTATTTTGCAACATTGATTCAAGATTCACATTGACTCTATTCTGGTTTTACAGCAGAATCTGAATTCCTCATTATCTGATGAACTTTGCATCATTGATTTAGTTCATTACTGTGAAGCTGCTTTGAATCGAGACTCGATGTTTCTCACGTACCCCAGTCCGTGTCACTGGTCCGGGCGAAAGATCGGTCCCGCAGGATCCTTCAGAAACAGCAGAGGAGATTTACAACTCACGCCGCTCGCTCTCAGAGAGTCAGAGATCAGAATCATCAACTTACCCAGCGTTATTCACCACGACATCTGCAAAACAACACGCTGCTCTCAGCTCCACAAACTCACCACATACACATCAGCGCATTTATTCTAGAGAACAACAGAAATCTGCTCCTTCAATATGACCTTTTTACTAAACCGTGGGGTTCCAGAAGTAAAAACACCATTCGTTTTCTCCATAGGCCAACCGATTTTGACAGATAACTTATAAACCTTTACGCCACAAGGTTGTTAATCGATGTAACATGCTTCCGCTGAAGCCGTCTGTTCGCTTTATTTCAACTTATTTTTTATAATAATCATGTTTAACAGCTGAGTTAGTGCTGAAAATCAACCGTACCCGTGATTCTGAACAGAATTCAACCAATCAGAGTCGCTACGAGCTTTTTAGCTCCGCCCACTGCCACTGAGAGTGATGTAATCAAGTCTCAAAGTACTTTACTATTTGTGTGTGTGTGTATATTAGTGTGTAACAGGCGATCCACACTCCAATCCAGAAGGGGGCGCACGCGGCAATGCATCCAAAACAAAAGTTTGTGTTTACATAATATATGTGTGTGTATTGTGTATAATTATTTTGCATATATAAATACACACATTTGCATGTATATGAACGGTTTTATATCTACATCGTTTTATTATTTGATGATGTCATTGGCAATGCATCATGGGATTGCTGGATTTTGTTCGATTTTTAAATCCGTCCTTCAGTTTTCAGTGTTGTGATTCTCCTCGTAGCCGGTTGGTTTGTTTCATGGATTGTAACGCTTTAACCAAGACTTTTTTTCTTTTAAATCCCTATGGGAGAAATGAATGGACACAATACCTCCGGAACCAGCGCTGTGAAACTCTAAAGATTATGAATAATAAACTCTAAAACTCTGTAGATTATGGTCACCTATTCGTCCGAACGCATCCAGCGCCGTCTGTATGAGCTTCTCTCCGTCCTCCACTGAATCTGTGAGGTGAGGATACAGGATCAGGATCTACATCAGGGCAGGTGTGATTGATTGACAGGTGTGATTGATTGACAGGTGAGTCGTTTACCGTAGTTGGCCACGGCTTTCCCTCCGTTAGCTCTGATCTCCTCCACAACTCGATCCGCAGCCGCAGAACTCCTGCCTCCTCCTTTAATATCTCCTCCCAGATCATTGACTGTGGGAAAGAGAACACAAAACACAGCTCTAGAAAACGAATCATAAGCATCGACTCATTTGAACTGAATCGTTTAGAGATCCGATCACCGATGACAGCGGCTCCTCTCTTCCCGAACGCCAGCGCATATTCCCTCCCCAGACCTGCACAAAACACACATGATTCACATGAGTTATGAATATCATCTGCATATAATCATGAGGGCATCAGTCACTCAGTCTTATCGGCTGTTTGCACTTTGGTCGACTCAGAAAAGCTGATTCACTGCCAAACAACACGCTTAAGCGTTTATAAAAGCCTTTAAACTCAATTTAATACCCACAATAATGCATGTTCATAAATATTGCACATCTATATTCACGTGTCAGCAGTAACTTTCACAATAAAATAAGGATAATACAGAATTATTATACTCTGTTTCCTGCTGTAAAGCCTCTCGGAAAGCGTTTGTCTGATGCATTTACTCATTATATTTCTGCACAAATAACTGCATCTCTCTGTTAGTGAACTTTGCATTAACATTCTTGCATGTATTTGCATAAACGCATGAGTTTATGAAGCTAAAACTGACCTCCGCCGGCACCCGTCACCAGCACCACTCGACCGTCGAAAGACAAAGGCACAGACATGTTTAGATGATATTTCTGTTTATGATGATGATGTTTCTCGGGAGCGATCAGTGTGAAAGTCTTCGGATCTGCTGTGAAACACTCCGCCGTGACTTTTGCCCTACTTCCGGAGCGCTGACGTCACCCGATGACAGCCAATCAGGGGCGCGCGTGTTCACTCCACCAAACAGCAGCACGTGACACTCATTTGTGCGCGCTGTTTATTGTGATTAATATTCGAATATATAATCAGAATCGCAGTTTGAGCTGCTGTGTCATTGTGTTCATGTGTAAAATGTTTTATGAAATCTGGCATCATAAAAAAACTAAAAAAACTAAAACTTAAAATGAAAACGGAAAATATAAAAGTAATCAGAAATATTAATAAAAAACTGTAATAGCATCCCAATGGTTAAAATAACTGGTATGAAATGTATGTTCTCTGTCTGGTTCATTGGCTCTGCTTGCTGTGCGGATTATTTACATATATTTGAATATATCATTATGTTGGCTTGAGCTACTATTTAAAGTCCACATGGAAGTTTTTTGGCTTTTAGTATGAATATGTCAGCTTTATTGTTATCTATAAGCTAGTGTGCTCCAAAACAATGACAAAACTCGCATTTGGTAGATATAAGCGTTCAAAACTCACAATCTCTCACTTCTGCCAATATGGATCAGGGATTTTGATGACATCACTCTGCACTGTCCAATCAAATGCTCTCTAGAATCTGAAGCTCCGCCCCCTACATTATAAACTTCCGCTGAAGCTGAAATCGGTCACTTGTTCACACATTTACTATATTCTACATACTGAACGGCACATAGTGCACTATATAGGGGATAGGGAACGATTCAAAAAGTGTACGGCTCTGGCTGAGCTGTGATATAAGCTAAAAACACTATTGGCTATTTAAAAAGGGGGAGGAGCTGACCGATATGCCCCGCCCTGTCTTCCTGTTTCAGTGGAAATTACGTCAACGCAGTGAATAATGCTGCACGATTCGCACCTCAGCGGGACTTTAAGTTTCTTCTTCTGAGACTAAATTTTTAGCAGTGTCTCCTAGAGCTTTCAAGCTACAACCACCAGACCTTCACCTTCAGACTGACTCGCTGTATCTTTACTAACTGATCCTACAGACGATCAAAACTATAGACTTTCATTGAGGGGGTCAAAACTTTTGAAGACTTATAGATCATAAGCTATCCCTAGCAAAGCTTAATGACTATCCTAAACAACAACAACATGCTAAAACTTGTTAGTAATATGCTAATTCATGCTATCAACATGTTAACAACATGCTAATCATGTTACTAACATGCTGAATCATGCTAGCAACATGTTAAATCATGTTAGCAACATATTAAATCATGTTAGTAAACATGCTAACTTGTGTTAGCATTGTGTTAAATCATGTAAGCAACATGTTAACAATATGTAAATCATGTCAACAACATCTTAAACATGCTAGCAACATGCTAAAATGTCAACAATGCGTTAAACCTTTTAGCAAACATGTTAAAACATGCTAGTAACATTTTTAAAGTTCAAACTTTTCAAAGTTATTTAAAATTTTCAGATCTGGATTTACTAAACCAACATCAAAGTTTATTAAATAAATATTTAGATCTTCATTTTGTTCATTTTATTATTTCATTGTATTTCATTATATTTATTATTCTTCGTTAGATAATAAGTTGAAATGACTGACAGGCGAAGAGTGTTTCTGATTGGCTGTGACAGCGCAGGCCCCTCCTTCAATCACGTGACTTACAGAAACAGGTGTAATTACAATAAACAGGTGCACCTCATTCATTTGTCAGATAATACCGTCATTTAATGTGTGATTAATAAATAAATACATAAATAATAAATAGATAAATGCTTAGAGCGCTATTAAATTGTTTTTCTGTTTCTTAAACACTAATTAATAAGCACAGACAGGCGTTCATTAATCAGTGTGAGCTGCTGTAATGTACATGTCAGATGAGCACTGAATCATAACAGATCATATCTAATATCTTCTCTGTATTATTCAGGATTCATGAGGTTGGTGGTTTCCATCAGTGTTTGTGTGCGGACTGCGCATGCGCGTGTTCACCGGGACGCGCTGCTCGAGATTCTTCTGCATCTGTAAGAAAACATGCGAACATTAACATGTGTGAGAGGACAGGCAGCACAGCACAGGTTCGGGTGACCGGGTCCGGGTCCAGTTCGGGTTCCGAGGATGTCCGGGAGCGCGGACGCGGACGGAGGCGTCAATAAAGTTCGAGTCAAACGACAGATCAGGGGCATCGTGAAGGATCTGGAGAACATCCTAGGAGACCTGAAGGATGTGGCGAAGGAGCTCAAAGAGGTGCGTGAGACTGCGATGATGATGAAGATGACGAAGATGAGATGTGTGATGATGCTCATGTCCATCGAGGCCTCTTGTAAACATGACATTTACTCGACACGGGTTCACTCGTGTGAGTCAGAATCAAAGATTCGATTCGCGTGCTGTTCGTCTTACTGACAGCTGTCAATCATTCGTCTACGGTTGTTGTTGCTTTTCATTATTCATGAGTAAACTGGGTCTGACAGACTTTAACAAGCATTAGTTAGTTAGTTAGCTTCACAAGAGGAGCATTAGTGAAATCAGATGCTCTTTATCCAACTATATCGCTTTCTTCACTAGAGCACTGTATGTATGCAGATAAAGCATACTTTATATATCGCTGTGCAATAATATAATTACATTTTGCAACGATTTGCTACACATATAGATTTGCTGTATATATAGCCCTATATATATACATATATATATATATATATATATATATATATACACACGACACATACAGATACATATATCGTATACAGTATATATATATATATATATATATATATATATATAAACAGCTTTATGTGAGTGCTGTATGTACGTGGATAAAGTTAAAACATAATTACAGTACAGGTAGATTTGAGTTCTTGTTTGTATGTGTTGATATTTGTGTAGAATTAGGAGAATAGTGTAGAATTAGCACAGAGTCTGAAATGTTTGGATCATGGTGTCTGTGAGCGATGATTCTACTGTATTTGTGGAAACACACACACACACACACACACACACACACACACACATTAATTCTTCAGTACTGTACTATAAATGTATTATGGCAGCACTGTAGTCGCTCATGTTCTCTTGTAAGTCGCTTTGGATGAAATGAAAGGAAAACTCTCGCAGCTTCGTGTCCTTTAGACTGAACATCTGAGGTCATGCATGATACACTAACATCATTCACCTGGAGATGGTCAGAGAGAAAGAAATAGATTTTATCATTATTGCTGTTATATAAGGAAACATGTCTCTTTCACAACATTCTTTTAAATAGGCTAAACAATAACGTTGGCATTAGTGGAATCACATTAGCACAGTTCAAATCACACTCACCTGAAGTCATCAGGTTGCAGCAGTAAATGAAGAGTTATATCGATCACGAGTTCAGTGTGGAGTTCCTCAAGGCTCAGTACTAGGACCGTTGCTCTTCACCCGTTAGCTCTATATCGCCAGTTTCTTTTGCAAGTTTACCTTTTATTTCTATAGGGCTTTATGCAATACAGAATTACAGATTATTTCAAAGCAGCTTCACAGTGTAAAATAACAGTGTCAAGGATGCAAACATGAGACAAGTTCGGATTCTGCTGTAAAGCAGCTTTAAAAACACAATAGAGTCATTATTCAGATCAGTTCAGTTTTGTTCTCGTCTGATAGTGTCAGTGCAGTCAGATCAATCATATTTCTGGATATTATAGGTGACATATTATCAGGGGCGTCATGCAAGCCAAAATTCTGGGGGGGCACATTCTGAGACGTTGCAATTGTTTTCTGACGGGTGATATGGATCATGTTAAGAGGGGTCAGGGGGTTTCTCCCCCTGAAATTTTTTTAATTCTGGCTGCGAAACATACTATTTCAATGCAGTTTGGGAGGGACAGAAATACCTTAACGGAGCTAGCAGCAACCCTCCTCTATCTGAGGACTAAGTTAAAGTATATGTGTATCTTATATGTGCATTATAAGATGTTTTGAAGGCCAAAAAAACTCCTAAAGTTGAGCTTTGACTGATAGGCTTTTCATTTTTGTCTGTCAGTGAAGAAAGTAAACATAGGGTCAACTGATAGGTTGATTTATGAATCATTTTCTCAGACGAATTTATTTACTGAAAGCTACTAGGAAAGCTAGGTAGCCTAACTAAGTTTATTAAATTCATTCACAGTAAACATTCATTATTGATCTTATGCCTAATACAGGGCCGTAGACAGGGCTTTATAATCACAGAGGTCCTAAATTTGAGGTTGGTAGGGGGTTCAAATTTTTTATTTCTCTGATATGTGCATTTCAAGAGACGTTTGAAGGCCAAAAAAAGGATAAGAAATAGCTTTAAAACCATGTTAGCGGGCAGATTCTTTGTCAATACCTGCTCTCACTTCTTATCCATCACTCTTTCTTTTTCTCTCAGTCTCCTGATCTTGCCTTCCCCTCCTAAAGCTGAGCTTTTTTAATTTACTTAAGGCTACAAATTGTACTATATTAATTCTCAATATGTACACATTCATTATTAATCTTGTGCCTAACAATGAAAACGTCTTTTCCCCTCACAATGACAGTAAACTAATTATTAGCCTACATGTTACATAGGCCTATTTTCAGCTCAAAATGGCGAAATTAGACAAAAGTATATTCGTGTGCCTGATTATTTTTGTCATTCGTTTAACATTTATGAACTAAAAAAACTGTCAAATATGAAATGTTTAGTTTAGCTACTTACATCTCGCACTTGACTGCACACTGAAGCGTCGAGTCTCACTGCTAAAATTCGCGCTCAGCTTCTGTGAACATAAAGCCCGCCTACTTTGATTTGATTGGTCATCTCAAATATTCTGACATTGACGAGCAGTGACAGACCAATGAGGCTCAGATGAACACGCACGCACACACACACACACACACACACTGTCCTCTGTTTCTGACGTGCGCTCTGCTCGGCACCGCTGCGGATTGAAGATGAACAACGCGCTGAATCTGATTATAATAAAAAATAAAAAATAATCAGGGAGGAAAAATCTGAGGGGGCACGTGCCCCCTCACTTTGAATGGGCATGACGCCACTGCATATTATGCCCCTTATCACAAGATGTGATATAAATCTATGGTGTCCCCAGAATGTGTGAGTGAAATTTCAGTTCAAAATCCCCCAGATCATTTATTATAGCTTGGCAAATTGGTCCCTTTTTGGGTGTGAGCAAAAACACGCCGTTTTTGTGTGTGTCCCTTTAAATGCAAATGAGCTTTAGCTCCGCCTCCGTTCAGAAGAGGGCGGAGCTTCAGAGACTCCGGCAATAACAACACAGGCCGATCTCACTGATCCAGAGTCAGGAGTAACAGCAGCGAGTGCAGCCTTACGGAGAGACTCAGGGAGAGCTTCACTTTTACACGTTTCTGAATGTTAGCGGAGACATTTCTGTAGTTGTTGTGGAGTTACACTGATCATCTCCTCATCATGTTGAACTCTTCCACAAGTGTCCACAGTTCCTGAGGTGTTTATAAGACAGCGCTGACATGTTCTGGTCAATAGTGTTCAGTGTCGTCTGTGCTCGACCACAGAACAGTTTCAGGCTTTGCTGGATCTTCTCCAGTGCGTTAGAACTGGTCTCTGTTGGCGCTCGCCGAACACAATGTCGCTGGTGTGTGTAACCAAATTCAAGGTTATTTTGGCTAGAAGTGGGTTACTCATAGCCGGACTATATCGGGTCTATAGCATAGACTGTAAAAAATATGGACAAAGCGTCTGTGACGTCACCCATAGACTTTCTGAAGAACGGTTTTGAGGCTGTTTATGGGGGTATGGGCGGTGCCATCTTGGAAAATCTTACGATATTTCAAATACAAATGTTCAGAAAGGATACAGAGGTGGTATGATGTGTTGTGTCAGATCATGGCCGAGACGTCAAATTTCAGGAATTTCACTCGGCGCAGCCCGTTATCAGCTGTCAATCACGCGCTTATTTGTCATACATTTTATATCTAAATACGATCTAAACTACCGAGTTAGAAAAAAATTCACCCCCCTCACAGTTGTCAGGCACTCGGGACCTATCCAAAAATACAATAAAAGTCCATGGGACCAACCTGTAAACATATACATTTATGCTGTGAAAACGGACATTTTAACATGCGGTCTATGGATATTTGCTCCCTTTTGGGACCTCCCTCTAGCGGATTTTCGATGTATTGCAGTTTTTCGCACTTCCGGGTAGGCTTTATTTTTCAGATTAGAATGTTGCGGCTTGGTCTATAGTTAATGGAGATGGTGAAATGATGGCAATTGCTTGCTGGGACGGGTCGTTGACGTTTGGCTCTCGTCGTGTTTCTCAGGTGGTTCAGGAGATCGACTGCCTGACGTCGGATCTTCATCTGGAAGAGGAGCTGACGGACAGTTCGAAGACCGACACGCTGAACAGCAGCTCCAGCAGCACCACAGCCTCCAGCGTCAAGATCTACCCCGAGGAGACGGTGCCAGTGTCTCCTGCTGTCCTGGCGGTCCTGAAGAGACCCGGTCCAGCGCCCCGGTCCAGCGCCGAGCTCACGGCTAACGGGACGCTGATGAGGAACGGAGTCGCTAGCAGAGAGAAGCCTCACGCGAGCCGCTGTCCTCAGACCACGAGGGAACGGGTCCGCTTCAGCGAGAAGGTCCAGTATCACGGATACTGCCCGGACTGTGATCTACAGTACGACATGAACAGCACGGATCTGCACTTACACACAGAACTGATGGATCCCACGCCGAGTCCCGTCCATCAGAACCTCGCGTTCCCCTCGCAAAAACCACAGAAGACCATTTTACGCAAGTCCACCAGCACCACCGTTTGATGCAGACTGAGTCCAAACAAACTGTTTTTGCACTTTTCTTCATAGTTTTCTTTTGTTTGGAGAGCACCAGACGGAGAGACGAGAGAAACCCAGATGTCGAACGGTAAGAGCTTTCAGAATCACCTTGTTTTCTCAAGGAACGACCATTTATTAAATGGATAGTTCACCCAAAAATGAAAATTACCCCATGATTTACTCACCCTCAAGCCACCCTAGCTGTATATGACACTCTTCTTTCAGACGAATACAATCAGAGTTATATTATAAATGTCCTGGCTCTTCCAAGCTTTATAAAGGCAGTGAATGGCTGTTTCTGTTTTGAAGTCCATAAAAGTGCATCTATCCATCATAAAAGTGCATCTATCCATCATAAAAGTGCATCCATCCATCATAAAAGTGCATCCATCCATCATAAAAGTGCATCCATCCATCATAAAAGTGCATCCATCCATCATAAAAGTGCATCCATCCATCATAAAAGTGCATCCATCCATCATAAAAGTGCATCTATCCATCATAAAAGTGCATCTGTGCATCATAAAAGTGCATCTATCCATCATAAAAGTGCATCTATCCATCATAAAAGTGCATCTATCCATCATAAAAGTGCATCTGTCCATCATAAAAGTGCATCTGTCCATCATAAAAGTGCATCTATCCATCATAAAAGTGCATCTGTCCATCATAAAAGTGCATCTGTCCATCATAAAAGTGCATCCATCCATCATAAAAGTGCATCTATCCATCATAAAAGTGCATCTATCCATCATAAAAGTGCATCTATCCATCATAAAAGTGCATCTGTCCATCATAAAAGTGCATCTATCCATCATAAAAGTGCATCTATCCATCATAAAAGTGCATCTGTCCATCATAAAAGTGCATCTGTCCATCATAAAAGTGCATCTGTCCATCATAAAAGTGCATCTGTCCATCATAAGTGCATCTATCCATCATAAGTGCATCTATCCATCATAAAAGTGCATCTATCCATCATAAAAGTGCATCTATCCATCATAAAAGTGCATCTATCCATCATAAAAGTGCATCTGTCCATCATAAAAGTGCATCTGTCCATCGTAAAAGTGCATCTATCCATCATAAGTGCATCTATCCATCATAAAAGTGCATCTATCCATCATAAAAGTGCATCTGTCCATCATAAAAGTGCATCTGTCCATCATAAAAGTGCATCTGTCCATCATAAAAGTGCATCTATCCATCATAAGTGCATCTATCCATCATAAAAGTGCATCTATCCATCATAAAAGTGCATCTGTCCATCATAAAAGTGCATCTATCCATCATAAAAGTGCATCTGTCCATCATAAAAGTGCATCTATCCATCATAAAAGTGCATCTATCCATCATAAAAGTGCATCTGTCCATCATAAAAGTGCATCTATCCATCATAAAAGTGCATCTGTCCATCATAAAAGTGCATCTATCCATCATAAAAGTGCATCTATCCATCATAAGTGCATCTATCCATCATAAGTGCATCTATCCATCATAAGTGCATCTATCCATCATAAAAGTGCATCTATCCATCATAAAAGTCATAAAAGTGCATCTATCATCATAAAAGTGCATCTGTCCATCATAAAAGTGCATCTATCCATCATAAAAGTGCATCTATCCATCATAAAAGTGCATCTGTCCATCATAAAAGTGCATCTATCCATCATAAAAGTGCATCTGTCCATCATAAAAGTGCATCTATCCATCATAAAAGTGCATCTATCCATCATAAAAGTGCATCTGTCCATCATAAAAGTGCATCTGTCCATCATAAAAGTGCATCTATCCATCATAAAAGTGCATCTGTCCATCATAAAAGTGCATCTATCCATCATAAAAGTGCATCTATCCATCATAAAAGTGCATCTGTCCATCATAAAAGTGCATCTATCCATCATAAAAGTGCATCTGTCCATCATAAAAGTGCATCTATCCATCATAAAAGTGCATCTATTCATCATAAAAGTGCATCTATTCATCATAAAAGTGCATCTGTCCATCATAAAAGTGCATCTATCCATCATAAAAGTGCATCTATCCATCATAAAAGTGCATCTATCCATCATAAAAGTGCATCTATTCATCATAAAAGTGCATCTATCCATCATAAAAGTGCATCTGTCCATCATAAAAGTGCATCTGTCCATCATAAAAGTGCATCTGTCCATCATAAAAGTGCATCTGTCCATCATAAAAGTGCATCTGTCCATCATAAAAGTGCATCTGTCCATCATAAAAGTGCATCTGTCCATCATAAAAGTGCATCTATCCATCATAAAAGTGCATCTGTCCATCATAAAAGTGCATCTGTCCATCATAAAAGTGCATCTATTCATCATAAAAGTGCATCTATCCATCATAAAAGTGCATCTGTCCATCATAAAAGTGCATCTGTCCATCATAAAAGTGCATCTATCCATCATAAAAGTGCATCTGTCCATCATAAAAGTGCATCTGTCCATCATAAAAGTGCATCTGTCCATCATAAAAGTGCATCTATCCATCATAAAAGTGCATCTGTCCATCATAAAAGTGCATCTATCCATCATAAAAGTGCTCCACCGGCTCCGGGGGGTTAACAAAGTCCTTCTGAAGTGAAGCGATGCGTTCTTGTAAGAAAAATATTAATATTTAACACGTTACAAATTAAAATGATAGCTTCTGGCCAAACAGCATCAGATGGAGACGAGAGAAACGGTACGAGCTTTCAGATCATCATCATCATCATCATGCTGATCTTCATCATAGGCAAGGCAAGTTTATTTATACAGCATATTTCACACACTATGGCAACTCAAAGTGCTTTACACGAGAGGAATTAAAAGAAAACAAAATAATAGCAAGGAAAATTAAAACAGTTATAAGGAATGAAAAGAGTAAAAAGATGATACATAGATCAACTTACATCATAAAACATCCTTTAACTCTCAGATCTCAGAACCTGTTCTGACGTCACACACACACACACACACACACACACACACACACACGTGAACATCAGCATATGAGCGTCTGTTAAAATGAGATGTTCATATGATGTTTTTTAAATGTTGCTTCTTCTTTTAGAGTATTTTTAAAACATTTAAAAATCACATTCTCATAATGTTTGAGGAATAATAAAATGGAATGAAGTCGAGTCTCCTTTATTAATACAGCGCTGTTACAGCAGAGTGTGTCCGAGCAGCTTCACAGAGAACAGGACAATAATGCAGCACAGTGTGTCCAGAAGAGAAGAGCGTCACAGTCCAGCTTAAGTCAGTTCAGTGATGCTTCATTTCTGCTGTAAAAAAAAGTTATTCATTAAAAAAATTATTAATTTAGTTCATATATATATATCCGTTCTGGAGAAAACCGTGATGTCATCGTCCAGCTCAGTTCAGTTCTTGTATAATGCTGAAGGAACCGAAACTCCATCAGTGACAGGATGGAGGAAAAGTGTATGATTATGATTATGATTCAGGAGCATTACAGGTCAGAAGTCAGAATGGTTTGGAACAATAGGAATATTGATGATGATGATGATGATGATGATGTCACTAAAACGTTCTCATAATTGAGACGATGAGAGATATGATCAGTGGATCTTACAGTGAAAAACACAGTTATAAACCAGTTTGAGTCTGTTTTCATCCTGCAGTCAGAAATCAATATTCCTCATGAGAGTCTCATCTCTCTTCATCCTCCTCCTCTTTTCCTACACACCAGCCGCTCTTCATCCTCCTCTTCCTCCTCCTCTTCTCCTACACACCAGCCGCTCTTCATCCTCCTCTTCCTCCTCCTCCTCTTTTCCTACACACCAGCCGCTCTTCATCCTCCTCTTCATCCTCTCCTACACACCAGCCTCTCTTCATCCTCCTCTTCCTCCTCCTCCTCTCCTACACACCAGCCGCTCTTCATCCTCCTCTTCCTCCTCTCCTACACACCAGCCTCTCTTCATCCTCTTCCTCCTCCTCTCCTACACACCAGCCTCTCTTCATCCTCCTCTTCCTCATCCTCCTCTCCTACACACCAGCCGCTCTTCATCCTCCTCTTCCTCCTCTCCTACACACCAGCCTCTCTTCATCCTCTTCCTCCTCCTCTCCTACACACCAGCCGCTCTTCATCCTCCTCTTCCTCCTCCTCCTCTCCTACACACCAGCCTCTCTTCATCCTCCTCTTCCTCTTCCTCCTCCTCCTCTCCTACACACCAGCCGCTCTTCATCCTCCTCTTCCTCCTCCTCCTCTCCTACACACCAGCCTCTTTTCATCCTCCTCTTCCTCCTCCTCCTCTCCTACACACCAGCCGCTCTTCATCCTCCTCTTCCTCCTCCTCCTCTCCTACACACCAGCCTCTTTTCATCCTCCTCTTCCTCCTCCTCCTCTCCTACACACCAGCCGCTCTTCATCCTCCTCTTCCTCCTCCTCCTCTCCTACACACCAGCCTCTCTTCATCCTCCTCTTCCTCCTCCTCTCCTACACACCAGCCTCTCTTCATCCTCCTCTTCCTCCTCCTCCTCTCCTACACACCAGCCTCTCTTCATCCTCCTCTTCCTCATCCTCCTCTCCTACACACCAGCCGCTCTTCATCCTCCTCTTCCTCCTCCTCCTCTCCTACACACCAGCCGCTCTTCATCCTCCTCTTCCTCCTCTTCCTCCTCTCCTACACACCAGCCGCTCTTCATCCTCCTCTTCCTCCTCTCCTACACACCAGCCGCTCTTCATCCTCCTCCTCCTCCTCTCCTACACACCAGCCGCTCTTCATCCTCCTCTTCCTCATCTCCTACACACCAGCCTCTCTTCATCCTCCTCTTCCTCCTCCTCCTCTCCTACACACCAGCCGCTCTTCATCCTCCTCTTCCTCCTCTTCCTCCTCTCCTACACACCAGCCGCTCTTCATCCTCCTCTTCCTCCTCTCCTACACACCAGCCGCTCTTCATCCTCCTCCTCCTCCTCCTCTCCTACACACCAGCCGCTCTTCATCCTCCTCCTCCTCCTCTCCTACACACCAGCCTCTCTTCATCCTCCTCTTCCTCCTCCTCCTCTCCTACACACCAGCCGCTCTTCATCCTCCTCTTCCTCATCTCCTACACACCAGCCTCTCTTCATCCTCCTCTTCCTCCTCCTCCTCTCCTACACACCAGCCGCTCTTCATCCT